AATATTATTCGACATTTTCACTTTTTAAAACTATATTTTATCGTTTTTACAAATAATTTGACTCAAAGTGAATCCATCCACTGCTGTTCTACCCTGCTTTGAGTTAGAGAAGTTTATCACAGGAAGTCTGCTACAGGAAATGTCACCATATTTATCTTTTGCTTATCTTTTGATCTCTGTCCAAATGTGACTTTGACTGTTTGTCAAATGTTTCTTACAATGTGTCTCATGTAAATATCAAAAACTAAACTAAAAACTAAAAAAAAAATATATATAATACATATATATATATATAATATATATATATATATATATATATATATTTTTTTTTTTTTTTTTTTTTTTGAGCAAACAGCAGGACTACAGTAAGAACTATACCAGGACAAAATACTTTTTATGATTTGGCAAATAAAAATGTATAAAAAAAAAACAACAAAAAAAAATAAATTAAATCGTGTTTGAAGTATCAGAAAAAAAAAATGTGTTTGAGTAAATTGAGTCAAACGTTTGGATAGATTTTTTCTTAACTCTCTAAATTTTAATACATTTCTCAACTTTTCTTCACAAATTGCTTCTTGATTGGTTTAAAACTGTAATTGAATTTAACAGGTTTTATTCTGCCAAATTAAGTAGAAATAAACTTTAAACTTGATTTGATTTGGGAAAGAACTCTGTTAAACTAAATCCTGTTCTGTGCTCTAATGATGTCTCTCTTCAGGGTCCCATGGGTCCAGTGGGAGAGACCGGAGTGGCCGGACCTCAGGGTCCTCAGGGGCCTCAGGGGCCCAGCGGACGCTCCATCATCGGGGCCCCGGTAAGAAACAACACTGAGAACCATTCAGAAACAATTGTAAGAACCATAAATAATCACTTTGTAAGAACCCTAAGTACTTTTGTGTAAGAACAGTAAACCACACTGAAACAATCATGAGAATCTTAAAGAACCAGACCAAAAGAACCACGAGAACCATGCACTAAGAACCACGAGAACCAGACCATAAGAACCATGAGAACTAGACCATAAGAACTACGAGAACCAGACCATAAGAACCACGAGAACCAGACCATAAGAACCACGAGAACCAGACCATAAGAACCACGAGAACCAGACCATAAGAACCACGAGAACAAGACCATAAGAACTACGAGAACCAGACCATAAGAACCACGAGAACAAGACCATAAGAACTACGAGAACCAGACCATAAGAACCACGAGAACAAGACCATAAGAACTACGAGAACCAGACCATAAGAACTACGAGAACCAGACCATAAGAACTACGAGAACCAGACTGTAAGAACCACGAGAACAATACAATAAAAAAACAGGAGAACCATACATTAAGAACCATGAGAACCATGCAGTAAGAACCACAAGAACCAGACAGTAAGAACCAAACAGTAAGAACCACGAGAACAAGACAGTAAGAACCAAGATAACAATGCAGCAAGAACCACGAGAATCATACAGTAAGAACCACGAAAACCAGACCATAAGAACCACGAGAACCAGACCGTAAGAACTACGAGAACCAGACCATAAGAACTACGAGAACCAGACAGTAAGAACCACGAGAACTATATAGTAAGAACCACGAGAATCAGAACCAGACAGTACGAACCACGAGAACATGACAGTAAGAACTACAAGAACCATGCAGTAAGAACTACGAGAACAATATACTAAGAACCACGAGAACCAGACCATAAGAACCACGAGAACCATGCAGTAAGAACCACGAGAACTATATAGTAAGAACCACAAGAACAAGACAGTAAGAACCACAAGAACCAGAACCATGCAGTAAGAACCACGAGAACTATGCAGAAAAAAACACAAGAACCAGACAGTAAGAACCACGACAATCAGAACTATGCAGTAAGAACCACGAGAACCATGCAGTAAGAACCAAGAAATCATTAAAAAAAAATTTAAAAAATTAACAAAAACAGACTGTAAGAACATGAGAATCATACATAAGAAACCACGAGAATTATGACATAACAATCATGATCTTTAGAGACCATGCAGAGAACCATACTGACACTACCATGAGAACCATACTGACACAACCATGAGAACCATACTGACACAACTATGAGAACCATATAGAACCAGGGCAGCTGTAGTTCACTAGTCGATATCAAAAGAGTTTAGGTACAATTATTGACCTAGTTTTGTCAGTACAGTTGATGTGTCATGTGTCTTGTGAGAAGATGTTTAAATCTGTTCTCCATAATGTTCTGCGTCCCCAGGGAGGCCCAGGAGAACGAGGGCAGAAGGGAGACCCCGGACAGCCCGGACCACAGGTACCACTCCACACATGAACCTTTTAAACCTTACCTTATCTTCAGAAATATCTAACACATGTCACCCATCCAAGTACAGTAATAACTCCAGTCTGGTCTGACAGGGAATCCCAGGCCGAGCGGGATCTCCAGGACCAACTGGAGCAACCGGACAAAGAGTGAGTCTGTTTAAATCATTACAAACGTTTAAATATTGTCTTTTAATGTGAAGGTAATATGAAAAATCTACTTTGAGGACCTTTCTACCTGCCATGCCTGTAGAGGTTTTAGATCTATCCATGCTGAGTAATATAGTGATCTCTCCTGAGCCCTATTCACACCTCCTTAGCTGTATAAGCCTGTACAAGGCTCCACCCACAAGCCTAACCCATGCTCTCATATGACAGTTCTCCTAAATATACAAAAAACATGACAAAAAACTGTACACAACAACTTGACAAACCTGATGTGATGTGCAGGAGTGTCATTAGAGGACGCACACTGATTGTGTTGTGATAGTGCTCTGAAAAGGGAGTGACTTGGCTCTTTGGTTTCTTCTAAACAAGCCAGTATGGTGATGTAAATATGTTATGCGTTTGTTAATACCCCACAAAAGTATAATATCCTCTTTAAGGATGTTTTGTTCATACATCTGATGTCCCACTTTCTATGTCTGTTACAGAAGAAGGAAAAGGACATAGAACAGTAGAAATGTTTAACTGTGATGGATTATTCTAGCCTGAAGCATGTCTTTAAAAATTAAAGGTCCCATATTATTTTTATTTTCTGATCTGTGTTTTTGTAGAGGTGAAGATGGTTTACTAGTTTTAGCCCCTGGCTGCCAAGTCTTTTACAGGTTTCCCCAACTCGTGTCTCCACAAACGAGCCCAAAATATTGAGTTTTAGCGTCTTTACTGGCCCCTAGAACCATCCATTTCATCTACATAAAAACAATTCCATTTGACACAGTAAGAAACAGTGGCCCTCATGACGTAGCAGCCACTGGATCACCTTTTCTGTCAATTTATAGGGAAACAGGCACCGGCACATAAGGCCCATTGTGCCACCTTCTGGTTAGGAGGAGAGGAACATTTTCACTCCTACAGTTCTAATGTTGTTTCCTCATCACAAACAGACCTGGAGTTGTGTTGAGTCAGTGAGTGTTGAGCTTTTATTCACACCCTGTATTCCTCTCTCACCTTGAAACAATCACCTTGTAATATCATGTATCATGTCAATGTAGTAATACAGGAAGTGCTCCACTGTGTTTTTAAACTCCATGCACCTTCACTAGAATGATTTTGGATTCTGGGATTAGATTGGCATTACCAGCCTCCCAGTACTAAAGGTAAAAGGAGCTGTTCACATGAAAACTACAGCTTTATGACATCACACAGTGGAATGGAGCATGCTGAGCTTTGGAGATGTAGACAGACTAAAAATAAAGAATTACTCAAACAATGAAACAAAACACAACAGTGGTTTGGTTTGTTTGAGTGAAATGTCGGGGACAGATCCGGTTCTAACAAAACAAACTCACCATAAGACAGTTTTATAACTAGTTTCTTTTGTTTTGTATTAAGATTTATAAATATTAAGGTTAATTTGTATTAGTAGTTAAAAGTGCTTGTTATTTTCCAGGGGCTTCCTGGAAAAGATGGGCCTCCAGGAAGACAGGGACCTCCAGGAACCATCGTGAGTACTCCACTCCTCTGACCCTCTACTCTGTTTCTTTGACCCTCTCACCTTCCTCCTCTGTTCCTCTGACCATCTGCTCCACTTTTACTTTTACAGTTTGGTAAACAACCTTTATACCTGTTGCTATCCAGATCTTAAATCTGGACTCAGTGCTGTTTGGTATAAACATGTGTTCTTAATCTAACATGTGTAATATTTTAACCTCTTTGTTTAGTTTGTTGGGATTCACTTTCTGAAGTTATAAGAACCCTTAAATTGTCCACAGTCAATACAAACCAAGCACATCTGTATAGTGTGCTAGTGCAGCCTGTAGTGGGACGTCTGGTATTACACTGAACTCAGTGTTTTTCCACTGAGCTGTGTACTGTATACACACCAGTACAGCAAAGCTCTAAGATGAACTGAGATCAAATCACTTTAAGGCACCAGTTTCTTTTGATAACTGTAGTGTTTCAAATTAAATACAAAGTCTTTGGCCTTGTCTTGAAATTGTTCTGTGCAAAACCAATTTGAAGATCGTTCTTAATGGCAGCAAAACTTCAATGTGCTTTGTAATTTCAGTCCACAGTCTCTGGAGGGCAGTGCAGTATTTCTTATTGATTTTAAACTTCTTGTTTGCTCACATCTTTATCCGTCTGTCTGTGTGTTTTTAGGGGACTCCCGGAGCTCCAGGGGCCCCAGGAACCTCAGGCCCCTCAGGCAAACAGGGAGAGCTGGGTCCCCCGGTAAAAAGCATGAATGGGTTTGAACTTTTATAAACAAACCAGTAACTTCTTGTACTGAATATTTTGTGTCTGTTTCAGGGTGTTCCAGGAAGCAAAGGAGAGAAGGGAGAGCGGGTAAGACCACAGACTGTAAACTAGCACCTCTGAACACCGCTGAGCCGCTGCCTTCCAAACAGGAAGTGAGCTTTGGACACATCGACTTCCTATTCAAAAAGCAGGGCCCGTCTAACTGCTCATGTCAGGCTCGTCATTCTGAAACATTAAAATATTTATTTTGCTATTTTGTCCCTAAATTAAGACATGCACATTAATAACAGACAAATCAAGTGTCGTCTTCCCCTCAGGTCGATCCTGCTGCCTTCAGCAACAGGTTGGATCAACAGTTGCCACATTTACATGAGAGCTTTAATTCTAAAAAAATAAATAAATAATAATAATTCTGTATAAAATTGAATTCTGCCTTAAAAAGACCATGTAAAAACTTATTTCCAACTGAAAATGATTATTCAGAATTAAAATTAATTTGGACATAACTCGGTGGATTATTCAGATTTTAAAGCCGAATTTAATTCATTTATTCTTGGATCATGTTTCATGTTTATTCTTCTTAAAAATAATGTCGGTGGTTTGGCGCATGCTCGTTGTGTCGCCCTTCTGATGTGATCCGGACGATCCGACGCCACCAGTCCTGACTTCGGACATTCATTCACGTCTCTTTGGATTTGTGAGCGGGATGTGGGAGTGGACTGAGGTAGAGCAGCCTCACACTCAGTTTGTCTTCTTCCTCCTTCTCCGACACTCTTCTCTTCTCCTCCTCAGCTGACAGACGTAAAGTGTGATGAGAGAATTCAGCTGCTGCACAATTATCATCAGAACCATTGCAGAAAATTTTGGATCATATACAAAGTAGGAAAAAAACTGAGGCAATCAAAAAGTACAAAAACCTGTTTTGCCCTGATGAAGGCCGAAGGGCCAAAACGCGTTGGCGTATTTTAACTTAATCTGCCATGTGGTATTAAAGGCTTTTAATTATTTTGTACTTTTTGAGTGCCTCAGTTTTTTTCCTACTTTGTATTTGAGACTGGTCCCTACACTGAAGAGCACCAAAAGAACAATTCTGCGCATTTTTTGCATATCCAAGTAGCACTCCTGCCCCCAAAGCCTTGCAAATTTTGGATCGTGTTTGTGTCCGTGGAGTAACGACAAACCAAGATGACAGAAAAGCAGCTGAAGTGTAAATACATTGGTGTCTTTGTCCAATCAGAACCTTCCCCACCCCCAGACTTTGAGCGGAATTAAATAAAGACGATTTAATGTGTTTTCCATGTAAACCTCAAGTCAGAATTATTACTTCCATGTAAACTCCAAGGAGAATATTTTAATTCTGAACTATTTAATTCAGAATAATTAATTCAGAATTTAAAACATCATGTAAACGTGGCCAGTGTTGTTAAGTGCCCCTTCTGGTGCGGGTGGAAAGGGGCCTTTCTTGTGCTCCTGGATGTCCAAATCTAGAACTTAATCCGAATGATCCACTCTAGATCCACCCTACCTGCGAGCCTCGATTGTCTTATTCCCAGTTCCAGCTGGGGGCCATTCTGTTTTCACTGAATCTGTCTGTGGCTGTGCATGTTTCAGGGGGACCTCCAGTCCACCTCCTCAGTTCAGGAGATCGCCCGCCAGGTCTGTGAGCAGCTCATCCAGAGTGAGTGCTACACTCTACTGTACATGTGAGAGAGAGAAAGAGGGAGGGGCTGAGAGAGAGAGAACTACACTTCTGCACTTCATTGTTTTTATTAAGACATTTGGCCAACTCAATTTAATGCAAATAAAAATTAAAAAAAGCAGTATCTGAAATGTCTGTAATACTGACTCTCTACCTCCTCCTCCTCATCTCCCCTTCTCTCTCTCTCCCTCTTTCTCTTGCATTTCTCTCACTCCTCTTTTCTCATCATCTTTCTCTTTCCTGTCTTACCCCCCTTTCTTTCCCTACCCCCTTTTATCTGCCTTTCTCTCTCTCCAACCCCTGCCTCTCTCTCTCTCCCTCCTTCTCTCTTTCTGCAGGTCACATGTCGCGGTTTAACTCCCTCCTGAACCAGCCTCCCAGTCCTCCAGTCTCCATCAGGACAGTCCCAGGACCTCCTGGTGAACCCGGCCGACAGGGACAGGCAGGACCGCCCGGGGAGCAGGGACTACCGGGCCGACCGGGCTTCCCAGGGACCAGTGGCACCAACGGGCTTCCTGGAGAGAGGGGTGAGAGAGGGGATGGCAGAGGGGAGGGGGTATAGGCACTCGTTCTAAAACAGTCCCCTTCATCGGTGCCTGTCCCTGTATTTGTAGGTCAGCCCGGGGAGAAGGGAGACAAAGGATCTCCAGGAATCGGAGTGCAGGGCCCCCGCGGCCCCCCAGGGCCCCCAGGTACTGCCCCTGTGTCTTTGCAAACAAACCTCAGTGTTTATGTGAGTCCATCATGTCTAAAGTCCACTCTGTGTCCCAGGCGCTCAGGGCCAGGGCCGGCCAGGCTCTCAGGGGCCCTCAGGTCGCCCCGGTAACCCAGGGACCCCCGGGAGGCCTGGGGTCCCTGGGCCTGTGGGACCTGCTGGGCCTCCAGGATACTGCGATCAGAACTCCTGCGTGGGATACAACGTTGGAGGTACAACCCTGAGAGTGACGGGAGATGGATATGACAGGGCCACTGAACCTGACACCGTGTGACAGGTGGACTGACCCTGACACCGTGTGACAGGGCCACTGAACCTGACACCGTGTGACAGGGCCACTGACCCTGACACCGTGCGACAGGGCCACTGAACCTGACACCGTGCGACAGGGGCACTGACCCTGACACCGTGCGACAGGGCCACTGACCCTGACACCGTGCGACAGGGCCACTGACCCTGACACCGTGCGACAGGGGGACTGACCCTGACACCGTGCGACAGGTGGACTGACCCTGACACCGTGCGACAGGGTCACTGACCCTGACACCGTGTGACAGGGGGACTGACCCTGACACCGTGCGACAGGTGGACTGACCCTGACACCTTGTGACAGGGCCACTGACCCTGACACCATATGACAGGGCCACTGAACCTGACACCGTGTGACAGGTGGACTGACCCTGACACCGTGCGACAGGTGGACTGACCCTGACACTGTGTGACAGGGTCACTGACCCTGACACCGTGCGACAGGTGGACTGACCCTGACACCGTGCGACAGGTGGACTGACCTTGACACCGTGTGACAGGGTCACTGACCCTGACACCGTGCGACAGGTGGACTGACCCTGACACCGTGCGACAGGTGGACTGACCCTGACACTGTGTGACAGGGTCACTGACCCTGACACCGTGCGACAGGTGGACTGAACCCGACACCATGCGACAGGTGGACTGACCCTGACACCGTGTGACAGGGGCACTGAACCCGACACCGTGCGACAGGGCCACTGACCCTGACACCGTGCGACAGGTGGACTGAACCCGACACCGTGCGACAGGGGCACTGACCCTGACACCGTGCGACAGGGGCACTGACCCTGACACCGTGCGACAGGGGCACTGACCCTGACACTGTGGTCTATACTGAAATTGTTCCAGTGTGTCTGATGAAGCGTGTCGTCTGTTTTAATCCACAGCTCAGTACCAGTACTGACTCCACACACACCTGCACTAGAGCTGGCCTAAAACCAGAACTAAACCAGGACTAAAGCAGAACTAAACCAGAACTAAACCAGGACTGAAGCAGAACTAAACCAGGACTAAAGCAGAACTAAATCAAAACTAAACCAGGACTAAATCTGCTCCATGTGTTCAGAATAACACCTCTGTCAGTCATATCTAAATGTTTCTATTAGATTAATCCATGTTTCTTTCAGACTAACTTCAAACTTGCTGGTCAAACTTATTTTCAGAATTTAACCATTTAATCTAAAAAAACAAACCAAAAAAAAACTAAACTAAAACATCACTTTGTTGTTGTAAAAGCGTCTCTTTTTTCCTCTTGAGTCAGATGCAGGCGTCTGATGTGATTTGGGGCTAAACTGTTTAAAGTGCGTTTGGCAGAGATGACCAGTCTCTAATACTGACATCATTTGTTGTGATAAAACCTAATATATTTTTACACAAATTAAGAAGCAATTGGGAAGAAAAGTTGAAAAAATATGTTGAAAATTGCAGGAAGTAGAGCATTCTTAAACACTGATGACATCACACTGTGGAGAATTCTATGAAGGCTTTTTCTCATATTTTTATTTCTCAAATAATTTTAGTGTGCAAATCATCCTAAATGTGTTTTAGTCAAATGAGTGCTTTCACCTGTCATAGGCACTTTAACCCAGAGCCGGTCTGAGCAGCTGCAGGACACACAGACGTTCACTTTAATGAAATTAAACTTTTCTTTTGCAGCTAAACCTTTTTTCTTACTGCTTGTGTTCTGTCCAAAATCACCCACAATTTTGTCCTTCATTTGACATGGGAAAAACTGCAGATCATTACCACCAATTATGGACTTTCACAGATTAAAAAAAATAAATAAATGAAGAATGTTTGTGCAGCCCTCCCCAAATCATTCCAAAAGGTGAATATTATCATTAGAGTCATCAAAGTTAAGCTTTCTACCATGTCATCATGTTATTCCCCCATCAAATACATGAGAGAGGTTTTCATCCGTGCAGGTTTGAGTTATTTAGCGATCTCTTCCTGTTGGAAATGTGTTTCTGTTCCTTCACCTGCAGACAGGGGACACGTCCAAGTGTGTCTCATTCTCAGTACCGAGTCTCAGGACTGTGCAGTTTGTCTGATATGTAAAGAAAGTAGAGCTGGGCTAAAATTAAAAAAAAAAAAAAAAAAAAATTGCATTAATCGCATGAGTTCGAGTGTGATTAATCGGGATTAATTACATGTTATACGCAAAACCAATTAATGAATTAAAAAGTAGCGCATAGCACACTTTTATTTTAAATGTAAATGAAAGAACCAAACATTTGTTGAGCAAACAGCATTTCTTTCAGAGTTGAACCCTCAGAGTCTTCAAGGTATTCAGTGAAGGCTCAAGATATTATATTAAAAATATCAAATACATTTTTGTACTACTAATATATTTTTTCAATATTTTTTATTCAGTGAGTAATAAACACTACACTAGTAATAATTTCTAGATCATTGTTAGAAACTTGGACTGATATTTCTAGGGAAACAAAGGGTTAATAAAACGGAATAAAAATGGACCAATCACATTTTTTCTTCTAGTGGTATCTGGGTAAATCAGTGACTCCCCTGCAGTACTGAACTAAAGAAACAAGCTCAGCTCAGAGCCACGGCTGGTCCGGCCAGAGCCGGAGCCTGCGGCCGAACTCGCAGTCGGGCCCACGGCCGAGCTCGCAGAGGCTCGGACACGGTTAGAACGTGGTTAGAAAAAAGTATAAAGAAAAGACGTCAAACTTAAAGAAACACTCGCGGTGGTCTTTTTCCAAATAAAAGCCAGTGAGAGACACACGTTTACAATAAAATAAATAAATAATAAAAACTGCATTAACGGCGTTAAAATAATTGTCGGCGATAATGACTTAATTAGTTAACGCAAAATTTATGCGTTAATGTGCCCGGCCCTAAAAGAAACCCCGGCCCCCATCACAATCAGGAGCCATAATGTGGCCCCCAGAGAAAAAAAAAGTTTGGAGACCTGCTCTCCACTCTTCATCTCTTATAATCACATGTACCAGTGCACTCGGAGTTGTGCGTCAGTGAGGAAATGATGAAAACTGAGGTGTGGCTGGAATTGTTGATAGGCTGAACATGAATGGAACGCTACAGTGACATGGAGATGAAGAAAACTGGGACATTTTCAAATTTTTCCTAGATTTTCTCAGATTTACTAATGCAAACAGAGCCTGCCTGAAGTTGTAACTGAATGTTTCCAAACGTCTTCCTGGTTTGTGACGTGAGTGTGAATAGAGTCTACTGGATTTGGTGTGAGGCTCATTCTGCTTTCTGATTGGATAATCGTCTTAAACTGAAACACCAAATTATAACATAAATATATAATATCATGTCCAAAAATGTGCATCATTTCACATTAGTTAATTTGTGTTTTAGTTTCATGTGAATAGGCACAGTCATTCCAAAGATATTAACCGTAAACCAGGTCGTTTGATTAGTGCAGTTAAAAGTGGTGATGACAGTGGGTGATTTTGGACACTAAATGTTGGGTGTTTGTCCATAACCTCTATAACTCTGGTCCCTCTTTCCTGCTTTCTAACCAAACCAAACATGCACTTCTGTGGGTGTGGCGGTGGTGGGCGTCGGCCTCTTTCCCCGCTCCTGATTGGTCCACGCAGAGGAAGAGGACGTGATTCAAACTCTCGGCCGTAATGTTCCCTCAGTCCAACTGCCGTCCAACGTGTTTCAAAACTACGGAGAGGAGGCCGTAGAAGAGGACGACCCGTACAGATACTACCAGCCCAACTACCCTGTGCCCCAGCCCCTCGACCCCCAGGACCCCCTGCTCCTGGAGGGGGGCCGGCAGAGGAGGAGCCCCCCGGAACAGAGGCTAAAGAGGGACCCTGGAGTGTACTGAGGACGGGCTGGAGCAGAGGAGCGAGAGAGGAGAGGAGGGATGCACCGATCCGATCCTGGTGTCGGATATCCACACTGGCACCAGAAAACTTGCTGGATCGGATATCATATCGACTTCCAAATATCGATTCAGCCGATATGATGGTGGGACATAAAAATTTATGAAATGGGGTTTATTTCCTGGTCATAGAAAATCCCATCATATTTGAACTTCATTTATACAAAGTTCTGTTGTTCATTGAGAGATAAATGACAGATCCATAACACATTTGAATCAGTTTTGTCTTATTTTATTTTTGTTTAAAGGAAATAAATGCTGTTTTCGGTCTCTGCTCTGGTATCGGTTAATATCGGGGATGGGAATCGGTACTGGATCTAAAAAAGCTGGATCGGTGCATCCCTAGGAGAGAGAGAGGAGATTAACGGTGGATCTGTGCAAAAATACATGATTCCAAATTAGATTTATCTCATTATTGAAAAATCAGATACTCAAATTGAAACTAGACATGTCAAGAAAGAAACTTCTACCATTTAATGTGGAAAATCACATTCTTTTGTCTAAAGAAAGAGTGTTTTTATTTTCATTGTGGGATCAGAATCAGTATTGAGTATCTAGTCGATTTCTATGACTGTCGGAGTCGAGTCTGGACTTTGAGTATCGTGACGACACTTTTCCAAATACAGTGAATACTTTGAATCTCTGTATCACAGTTTATTGTGAATCGTGTATTTTCCACCGATCCACCTCTGTGCGTTACGCTGCATTACGACTGGACGGCTCACGTGTCAATCAAAGTGCCCCAGTATTGATACTTTGCAATGACATCTCGCTCAGGGTGTTCTACATGTATCTCTGTGGTGGAATGTTCAGCAGTTATTCTGGAGACACAACGCAAACACAGTCAGAAAGATTTTAGAATGAGAAAAAATACAAAATGGATTCAAGCATTCAAAACATTTTGAACATTGATCAATACGAGCGTTCATAATCTGTGTAGCATTCGTTCATTTGTTTTTCAAAATGAAACCAAAAATAAGAAAATGAGATGTTGGACTTTTGCGCCGCATATGGACTCAACCAGGACTGAACCAGGACTAAACCAGGACTATATCAGGTCTATTTCAGATCTAAACCAGGACTATATCAGGTCTATCTCAGGTCTAAACCAGGTCTAAACCAGGACTAAACCTGGTCTAATCTTGGATTTGAGAGACAGAGCGAGAGAGAACCCCGAGCCCTTGGAGCAGGGTGTCCGCAAAGCGCGATCGGGCCTCGGCTGCGCTCAGCCCCGTGGGGCGTGGAGCTCTGTGCCAGTTCTTTTGTCTGCAGTCACTCGATGGTCTACACGGGCACACCTGTGGGTCTGTCCTGATACTCAGACCTGGTTTAGTCCTGTTTTAGTCCTAGTTCAGTCCTGGTTTAGTCCTAGTTCAGTCCTGGTTTAGTCCTCCTGGGATCAGTCCTGGTTTAGTCCTGGTTCAGTCCTACTTTAGTCCATATGCGGCACAAAAGTCTGGCCTCTCCAGTTTTTGTTGTATATATATATATATATATATATATATATATATATATATATATATATATATATATATATATATATATATATATATATATATATATATTCGTTTTCTTATTTTTGGTTTAATTCTGGAAAAAAAAAATGAACAAATGATACACAGATTTTTTTCTTGAAGCTCAGATTTAAATCTAACTTGACTAAAAGAGCTTTAGACAGAGCAGGGCCAAAGGAAAAATTCAGTTTGTCAACTGAACAAAATTGTATTTTGGTCAAATATGTTTCACAGCTCATCTAAGCTGCTTGTTCAGTTGTGTTCAGATGCTGGTGGACACTTCCTTATATCTGTCTGCAGGAGGAGCTAATGACACTGAAACTCTTCTGGAACTCACACATCTACTTTGTCCAGTTGACAAATTGAATTGCCGTGGATTGAAATTGGACGACTCAGGGATTTGACACACATTTAGACAGAGCAGTGCCTTCAGTTGGCATTACACTCCCAACTGTAAAGTATCAGTCGCTTAATGCAGTTTTTTAATTAAATAAATGAATAAATATATTTTTAAAAGTTGTGTATATATGTGCCCGGCCATAGACTGTTTATATAAATGGACACACAGGAAGTGAGCATGGCCGCTCTTCCAGCTCCAGCAACTCTGGCTCCAATTCACTTTGTATTGTAAAATCGTGGCCCTTCTCTCTGTAAGTAGAGACTGCTCATTCTGGTCTGTAATGTTCGTATTAACCCGCTCTACATGATCCTGGGCTTTTTATTTCACTATTTTTGTCCCTAAATCACTTATTTTTCCTGACATAGAACTCGGCTCCAAATGCCCCTTATAACCGCAGGCCTCAGTGAGCTTCATTTGACTGGAGCTGTGAGTGACAGCGCTCCGTTTGTCCACTTCTTTATACAGTCTATGGTCCAAAAGGATGGGAACAGATGTGGGAAATAAAAGTGTTTTTCTAATATATTGGAACAGTATTCTATGTTTAACTGTCTTTCTTCAAGTGCCTCAAGAACAGTTAGTACTTCCATTACTTTGAAATCAAATTGTTTTTACACACACACACACAGACACACACACACACACACGCACGCACATATATATAAAGTTCATTACAGTTGAGATTTATTTTTGTTTACGGTGAGTTTGAATGAGGAAATAATGTTAAATGTGATATTGTGAAAATAATTGTCAGAGAGACACAAAAATGAGAAACTAAATTAAAAAAACTAATTATTTACTCACAGTGGGAAGAGGAACCACGACTTTTACTCAAGTAAGAGTACTGTTACGCTGTACTATATATTACTCGAGTAAAAGTACTGTTACATTGTACTATATATTCCTTATGTAGGAGTTAAAGTGCCAGAAAAGTACTGTACAGAAAATGTAGTTGCATTAAAAAGTTAAATTAAACATACACCCACCCGTATTTTCTTAAATGGCATAAACTTTCAGTGTGTGTGTTTTTTTTTTTAATCACACATTCCTCATTCAAATTCACCTGTCGTTTTGCGTCAGAAATAGAAGAAGATGTAAAAATGAACAGTGCATGTTTGGTTTGTTTTTCCTCATATTTTCTTGTTACAGAGTTGATTACATGTGTTCACTTACCAGTGTTGTTTTTTTCAGTGTTGTAGAATTTGAAAGAAGTGACTGCCACACTGACTGATGTCGCTCCAAACATGGTTCTTGTGATTTCTGAAGCAGTGGAGGAAAAACTCACTGCACTTGTTCAGCTCACGGAAAACTCAAGTTATTTATTTTTCACTGAACTTTTTGTCCAATGGAAATAAAACTGAAATCCAAACACCTGATACTGTCCTCGTGATGTTTTAAGTATACTTCTACTACTACTACTACTACTACTACTACTACTACTACTACTACTACTACTACTGCTACTACTACTACTACTACTACTACTACTACTACTACTACTACTACTACTACTACTGCTACTACTACTACTACTACTACTACTACTAACTGACTACTACTACTACTACTACTACTACTACTACTACTACTACTACTACTACTACTACTACTACTACTACTACTACTACTGCTACTACTACTACTACTACTACTACTACTACTACTACTACTACTACTGCTACTACTACTACTACTACTACTACTACTACTACTACTGCTACTACTACTACTACTACTACTACTACTACTACTACTACTGTACTACTACTACTACTACTACTACTACTGACTACTACTGCTACTACTACTACTACTACTACTACTGCTACTACTACTACTGCTACTACTACTGTACTACTACTACTACTACTACTACTACTACTACTACTGCTACTACTACTACTACTACTGCTACTACTACTACTACTACTACTACTGACTACTACTACTACTACTACTACTACTACTACTACTACTACTACTACTACTACTGTACTACTACTACTACTGCTACTACTACTACTACTACTACTACTACTACTACTACTACTACTACTACTACTACTGCTGCTACTACTACTACTACTACTACTGTACTACTACTACTACTACTGCTACTACTACTACTACTACTACTACTACTACTACTACTGCTACTACTACTACTTCTACTTCTAAAACTATTACTACTATTACCACTACTACTGCTACTACTACTGCCTACTACTACTACTACTACTACTACTACTACTGTACTTCTACTACTACTACTACTACTACTGCTACTACTACTACTACTACTACTACTACTGCTACTACTACTACTACTACTACTGCTACTACTACTACTACTACTACTACTACTACTACTACTACTACTGTACTACTACTTCTGCTGCTACTACTTCCATAACTGTTGCTAACAAGACTACTACAAAATCCAAATACTATTACTACACTACAACTTTACAAATGCTGGTATTTCTATTACTGCTTGTAGTACTACTAGACTTAGCTATTTGTTTTACTACTACTGCTGCTACTGCTGCTGCTCTACTACTACTACTACTGCTACTACTACTACTACTGCTGGTACTACTACTACTACTACTACTACTACTACTACTTTAATTCTACTGTCTATGTCATGCACCATTCCAGAGTTTCCTCATGACACTCCTCTGGTCTGTTCCTCAACTTCTCATGTAAATGTCTGACACTTTGAACAGCTGCAGGTCCAATGAGACACATGGTCCAATGACAATGGTCATGACACATGGTCCACTGAACACATGGACACATGGTCCACTGGGACACATGGTCACATGGACACATGGTCCACTGGGACAGCCGCAGGGTCCATTGGCTTTTTTTTTTTAAATTTGTGAGTTTGGGTCAAAATCTCAGGACTTGTTATTATATAATATTATATAATATTACGTATCTATTTATATACGTATTTATAAAAAAGAAAATAAAACAGGACAAAAGAGAAAGATGAGGCGTAGACACATGTGAGTGCAGAGAGTCTTTATTGAAGTGTGTGTCTCAGCAGCTTCACACACAAAGATGCTTTTGATGCACAGCTCTTTATTTGGAGCAGAAGCTCCAGTTGGGACAGAGGCCTGTGTGCTGTGCTGCAGTAAGTGAAGTGGAGCTGTAGCTGTAGAGGCGTGAGCTGACAGCAGAGGGCGCTCTGCAGGCTGATCCCAGTGACTGTGTCAGTGGTGGGAACACTGCAGTGTGCTCAGTGTGTGGGACACTGGACTCTGGGAGCCCTGGCTGGCCTCACAGCTCACAGCCACGCCCCCCTCCCTCCACTGCTGTGCGGGGAGCGTCAGGCTGCTGCTCCAGCTGTAGTGGCCGTCCTTTTGCGGCACCGCGGGGCTCCGGCTCTGCTCCCCGCCCGCACCGCCACCGGACACCTTCCAGGACACGCTCCAGTCTGACGGGAAGCCCTTGTTGGCCAGGCACACGAGGGTGGCCTTCCCCTGGGCCAGCTCCTCTCTGGAGGGGGGCAGCACCCAGAGACTGGGCTCCACTCGGCCCACTGTGGACACACACAAACACACACTTACACACACTGAAGGGAACATTTTTCATCATATTTGGTTGACAATATACACGTTTTAAAGATGCAAAGAACCCAAGGCACTCACTGGTTAAAATAAAACACCTTTATTACTGCAGATCTTAATGGACAACTTCCAAAGTCTATGGTTTTCCTCACAGGAAATTTGACTTTCCCTTCCTCAAAGAAAACCACTGAATTCTGTCTGCGGTGTATTATTCTTTGGAGGTCCATGAAGCGCACCATTTGAATCTTTTTTTTCTTTTTTCTTTTTTTTTTTTAATATTTAAGTTTGTTTTCCTGATAAAACAAAAGGTAGTATTTGTTGGCATTAAAACCGTAATTGTATAAATGACAGACGCATATGTTTAAATAATTCTGTGGAACATTCCAGGCAAAGTAATAACATCTTCACAGTATTCAGGTGGCGAACCTCACACCAGTAATCTCGGACTCTAATAATTTCACAAAAAATTAAATGCAAGTGAAAATACTGACAATACTACTAAATACTAAATAGTACTTTTTTTTTCCTTTTTTTTTTTTCTCACAGCAAAAGTCACTTTTAGCCTAAACTGAGTGAAAACAGAACTGAGAGGCTCCACTGAAGCTGAACAACAGAACAGTTTCAGAGCTAAAGATAAACTAAAAACATGAAGTTTAAGTTGGTCATGAAGAAAATATTTTTATATTCTTCTTTATATTCTTTTTTTTTTTTTTTTTTCCAATATCAACATTGACAAATAAATAAAATTATTTTCAATTATGATATACAGTTTTAAACCTTTACTTATATCAATTAAATAAAAATATATATATTTAAAAATGTAATTAAAATACAGAATGCCATATTAAAATACTAAAATTATAAAATTCAAAAAGTCTGATTGTGAATAAAATATTTCTGTATAAATTGAGGTGAGTGACTGTGGGGATGATAAGAAGACACTGCTCACCCAGAACTCCAAACA